TTCCCTTTCACAAACAGAGTGGTAGACGGTTGGAACAAGTTAGGTGAGAAGGTGGTGGAGGCCAAAACCATCCAGTAGTTTCAAAGCGTTATACAGTATGACAAAGAGTGCTGGGTAGATGGGACACCACGAGCATAGCTCTCATCCTGTAACTACACTTAGGTAATTACACGTAGTATATATAGTGCATTAGCAGTACAAACATACATGATCTATTTACAGTGTAATAGACCTGTTATATGGGTCTAAATTCAATACCTATAACAATAGTTGAGCACATAGCAAATGTTTTCATGCATGCTTTCTGCTAATGGCATAGCTAGCATTCAAATATTTATATCCTACAAAAGCATTTATCTTTACACTTTGCTACAATACATGGTACATAATTCGTCTTACAATTATTATTGCCCAAGCACTTGTATACTGTACTTGTTACTCTAGCTCAATACCAAATGCATCTCTAATGTCTCACCTATTTCACTTTTTTCTTCCCTTAACATCTGAAAGTAAAATAATTTTTAAAAATCTGTTTTACAAAAAATATACATATGATTGGTATAATAATATGCAGATGAAAAGTCACAATGTGGCTGAAAAATGTTGACCAAACCACACACTAGAAATTGAAGAGACGACGCTGTTTCAGTCCTTCCTGAACCATTATCAAGTGAACTGTGATGAGATGAGGGAGGCAAGAGTTTAAATAAGGCAAGAGAGGGGTGAGGAGACAGAAATCATAGAGGAAGATAAGAGCAAGGGGAAAAGGTACAGAAGGTAAGGTGTAATATAGGGTGTAATAATAGGAGTAAGAATGGGAACGTAAGAGAAACAAGAAAAAGGAAAAAGGAAGGGAAGGCTAATGTTAGGTCACATTTGTTAGAAAGTTTAAAACATTTGAATATATACTGTGAAAGGAAAGTGTCGACAGCAACAAAGCTAGGACTAAGGTTCATGTTGGGTAGGTTGTGTATCAGAGCAGATTCCACAAGACGGCGTCTGTGTAGTGTAGAGGCAATAAAGATTATTTTAGAGGAAGACCAATCAATAGGATGACCAGAATCCCTAACATGACAGAAGAGAGCATTGTTTGTGTCTTGCAGACTTAACATTTCTTTTGTGTTTCTTGAGTCTGTTATTAATTAAGTGTACGGCCAGTTTTCCCAAGGTATTGGAGAGGACAAGACGAACAGGAAATAGAGTAGACACTAGCAGTATTAGAAGCAGGAGGAGAGGTGTGAACCAAATTACTACGAAAAAGTGTTAGTTTCTCGAAAGGCGAGGTTTACGTCAAGAGGACAAAAGGTATTAGTAAGAGTTTGAGTTCAGATATGACGGGAAAGCATAGCACAGTGCTAAAATGGCTGGAAGCAGGTTTAGAATGAAAGAAATTTCGCTCAGATTGAAAATAGGCACAGTTGATAAAATGGCTGGAAGCAGGTTTAGAATGAAAGAAATTTCGCTCAGCTTGAAAATAGGCACAGTTGATAAAATGTAAAGGGTAACCAAGGCGAGAGAAAGATTTGTAGATAAAGGAAATTTCAGAATCAAGACACTGAGGGTTGCTGATGTGTATAGCATGGAAGAAGAGAGAGATGAGGACACTTCTTAACAGGAGGGTGGTGGTAGGAAAAAGAAGTGAATGTTCATGCCAGTATGCATGGGTTTGCGGTAGACAGAGAAAGATAACCCCAGACACAGAGCTGTGAACGTGAACGTCAAGAAAAGGAAGGAGGGAATTAGATTCCCACTCAACTTTGAAATGGATGGAAGGAGCCAGATTGTTAAGAGAGGAGAGGAAAGGCTGGCAAAGACTAAGGTCATGAGGCCATAAAGCAAAAATGTCATCAACATAGCGAAGCCAGAGAGTGGGATGAGTATCAACAGTGGGAAGAACAGTAGTTTCTAAGTTGTTCATGTAGAGACTGGCAAGTACAGGGGAAAGGGGGGAACCCATAGCAACACCAAAAGTTTGAGAGAAGTATTTACCGTTGAAAGAGAATGAGTCAGAGTCAACACAGTCTGATGAGTTCAAGGAATGAGTTCAGTGGGAAGTGGGAGAGGAAGAAGACCCTCAGTCGCCTTCTAATTAAGGAAAGAGAGAATGTCATCAAGGGGGAAACATTAGTAAACAGAGTCAACATCAAGACTAAGCATGTTACAGGAGGGCTGCAGGCACAGTCGTTCTATGAAGTCCTGAGAGTGACGAAGGTGGGCAGGAGAAAAAGTGCCAAGGTAAGGCGTCAGAGTTTTAGCTAGCCAGGAGGCAAGAGGATAGCCAACAGAGCCCCTTGAAGAAATGATAGGATGAAGAGTCTTAAGAGTATTAGGTAGACCATAGAAATAAGGAAGAGAAGGGCAGATGACTCTGAAATGTTTTATAAGATCGGAGTCAGGAGGACAAAGACTAGAGCCATCTTATTTTGATAGGAGCTTAGTTTTAATAGGAACTAGGCCTATTTGGTCATATGAGACAGCTCCTATTTATATCCACAATAAATACAAACTTCCTCATATGTGCCAATAGGCCTCATGCAGTAAGAACATAAATTCATTCATACATATATATCAATGTAAAAAGATCATAGATATATTCAAGGTCCATACTGAGTCATCTGGCTCAGCCACTGTGAATAGCTGAGGAAGGGTATAGTGTTAAGAGATGGAGACTGGGCTGCTGGCTACCAGCCTTGGGGTATTAAAAGACCTGTGTTGTGACTTTTGGGCCAAGACTTTCAGAAACAACACACAAGTCTGACATTCAAGTATGGAGGGCAAATGAGAGCTCACATTTGCAGGTACTAATTCAATCTGGCATTTCGTGAGCACTTTGTCCTGGGTTTGTATCCTGACTGGGGAGGATTTACTGGGCGTCCTTAACTGTAGCCTCTGTTTACCCAACAGTAAAATGGGTAGATGGTTGTTAAACGATTTGGCAGGTCGTATTCTGGGAATATAGGATTAAGGACCTGCCAGAAACACTATGAGTGCTAGGATTCATCTGTTAATACATGTATGGGTCGAATGAGTGCATGGTGCTGCTGGGTACGAGCAAGGCACTCAGTTTACCAATGTATCCCGTCTAGTGATGACTGCGTTTGAATTCTTTGTAAAGACTTTCACTGTTTTCTGCTTTTTTGGTTTCTTAACACAGATCCCAAGAAAGTCAGTGGTAAAGTTCAACCTAAGAAAATAGATGTGAGGATGACAATAGAGGAAAAACGAGATAATTCATTGTGAATGAATGTGACGTCTCACTCACTAAGAAGTGTTAAAACATTAGGGAAAAACCAGTGTCTTTAGATAGATTCTTAGTAAGACAAGCAAGCAGTGAGCCACAATCAGGTCTAGTGGTATGCATACCAAATGTAGGAGAGTGAGTACCCAGGAACTGCCATCACTGCCTCATGTTATAAAGGAACGGGACTCCCTCTCCAAACACATCTCTCCTTCCCTTCCCCCTCCTCACTATCTTCCATATGCCAACAATAGTACTCAATAAATGTAAGGTATATTAAAATAATATGAGTAGTATTCTGTATAAAATGTATTTTTCAGTAAATTTTTTAAGGAGTCTGGAACGGATTAATTCAGTATCGCTTCAGTTTAAGAATTTTCGGCTTACGAACCATCTTTGGGAACGGATTAAATTCGTAAGCTGAGTTACCACTGTATATATCCCAAAGCTCTATTTAGTCACCACATAAACTGATACACTTGAAAAGTGTACTTATTGGATTCTATTACACCATTATCTTTCCTGTACACTAGGACTTGGGCACTGTGGCTAACAATCTCTAACTAAACACGTGGCCCCGGCTAATCAGACAGACTGAACAGATTTATACAACAGGGCAAAAAAATCACACAAACATTGCCAGCTGTCAAAGGGGCATTTACAGTTACAATTCATTTCCTACTCTTGTATAAAAAACATCACCATACTACAATAAGTCTGCCCTAGTTACTATATCACGTGGGGTGTGTCTCTGACTTGAACCAACAAGTGGGAAGGATGTCTTCACAGCACCACCACTCATAGAGAAGTGGACGAATCTTGGCGCATTATTTACACTGCTGCCCTACAGTGTTACAATTTTTTTTTTGTGTGGTTCTCTATTTATTTCTTGTTTAAAACTGGTTTTCCACTTATATTTTTCAACATGCTGTTCCTGTCACATAGTTTCTTTTAAAAATATATAGTACTTGTTTATATCTTGCATCTTTACATTAGGGTCCCGGTAGTACAGTCTGATTCATTCTCGACTCTTAATCAAGAATTTCAGGTTCGAATCCCGGGCGGGACAGAAATGGTTGGGCACATTTCCTATCATCAAATGCCCCTGTTCACCTAGCAGTAAGTAGGTACTCAGGAGCTAGTTAGCTTCTTGTGGGGGTTGCATTCTTGGTTGCAGGGTCAGTAATTGGACCTTGGGTGAGTGGGAGGGGTCAACCTCGATATAAGCCTAACGTGTATGAATACTCTGGCTGCCTGTCCCCCGACATAGTGATTATTAATTATTATCTTTTTAGAGTGTCATTCTCTCACTGTGATTATAGACTATGCACATATGCTGTTGGCTGCATTGGCAGGAGATTTGAAGGGTAGCTGTCCTGCAAAGTCCCTTTCTTACAGGGTTTATAACCCCGTCGGTGAAAAGGCATCTCCTATTTTCAGTCCTACATTGTGGCTTGAGCTTGAAACGGTTGCTCCTTGTTTGTGTTACATCTGAACTTTTGAAGTTGTTGTCTGGATCAACATCGCCCAAATTGTTCAGTATTTTAAACATTTCGATGACATCATCCCTGTCATGTCTGGTCTGCAGTGTTATTAGCCGTGTGGCCCTAAACCTGTCCTGGTATGAGAGAGGATTTAGTTCTGGAATTATTTTTGTTGCCTGATATTGAACTTTCTCCAATGAAGCTATGTCTTTCTGACGATGAGGTCTCCATGCCTGGATACAATAATCCAGGTGTGGGTGCACCAGAGACTTGTACAATTGAATTACTACGTCCTTTTCCTTAAAGTCAAAGGTATGCTTGATTATTCCTATTTTTTTTTTTTTTTTTTTTTACTGCTGCTCACACTTGTTGTGCAACTTTCAGCGAGTGATGGATTCTGACTCTAAGGTCGTTTTCTTCTTTAATTTTGAGATATATACAAGAGTTGTTACATTCTTGTACAGCCACTAGTACGCGTAGCGTTTCGGGCAGGTCCCTGGAATACGATCCCCTGCCGCGAAGAATCGTTTTTTTCATCCAAGTACACATTTTACTGTTGCATTAAACAGAGGCTACAGTTAAGGAATTGCGCCCAGTAAATCCTCCCCGGCCAGGATACGAACCTATGACATAGCGCTCGCGGAACGCCAGGCGAGAGTCTTACCACTACACCACGGAGACTGTTAATCTGCAGCAAAGTGATGCTGTTAATTAATTTGGTAGTTGTGATGTGGATTGTTATGACCTACATGCAAGGTCTTGCATTTATTAATATTAAAAAGCATTTGTCAGTCTTCTGACCATTTGTGGAGTTCGTGTACAGTAGATATGTTTGTAAGGCTTCATTATTTTCACTTCCCACTTTACCATAAATATCTGTCATCTAGAAATTTGATGATGTGTTTTGTAATTTTCTCATCTATGTCACTGATGTATATGACAAAAAGGGTTGATACCAAAATGGATCCCCTGTGATACTCCACATACCACATTTCTCCAGTCAGATTCCTTCCCATTTAGCACAACCCATTGTATACTTTGTTTTAACCATTGTTTTATTAATTCTAGTATTCTACCATTTATTTCATGTGCTTTTAGTTTCCTTGCTAGTCTTTCATGTGGTACCTTGCCAAAAGCTTTAGCAAAGTCCATCTAAACTACATCTATCAGAAGTCCTGAAATACATAACTGTACATTCTTGTGCACCATAATGAACCACAAAGCTGGTCTGGTGGTCCCAAACACAGCACAATGTTAACATGCTAGTAAGCTGATGATGACACCTAACTCAACATAATACCTCCAAAATATCATGCCTGTCACTAACTCTAGGCACAATGTTGTTATTATTATCAGCATCCTGGCCACTAACTTCTAAATATGAATAATTTTGCACAAGTTTAAGTTCTGAAGGAGCACGAGGTCATTCCATGATGTGTAGCTACACCAAACAATGGCAATGTGCTATGGCAGTCTGCCTCGCACTGTGACCCTCATAAACAGCATAGCCTTCCCTGATATCTGAACATTGTATGTACTCTTATCATAGTCAGGAGCTTCTATGATACTATCATCACAAGATAATAGCAGTTACTTATAGAGTTCGTAATTTTTAAGTGATCTGTAGATACAAACTGACAAGCGGTGCTCTTAGCTCAAGCTCCACGCACCACCCTTGGTTGCTCACTCAGTACTGATGCCTTCACACCCAGGAATGTTGTCCACGATTTTTTTTTCAAAATAGCATCCGTTTACCGAAGGCCTGAGAAAGCTGATGAGCCCCGTGTACCCGCAGTGCTTTTAAATCTTATGCAGTACTCTAAATCATCCCGGTATGACTCGCAGTGTGGTCACTATTGTCACCCACCAAATTCCCCTCCCATTCCTCCACCATAACTTTAATTTTATGCACATTTCCTAATATCAGTACTGTAGTTTCTTGCACAAAAATGTAAGCTAATATATATATAATATATATATATAATATAATTATTAGAAGTAAATTTATGGAATGGTAATAGGGAAAACTTATCTGTCCAACTATGGCAAACATACTTATGGAGAACAATGCGACAGCTATTGTTAACGTTTTGTTTGTTTTTCAATTCAATTTTGGCAATACAGGTGTATTTGAATATTTTTTTCGATGTGGTACCATGGGCACAATTTTGGTTGCTTATATGAAAAAGTAACAAATTGCATACAAAACTACAAATGTTAAGGGCATTATGAAAAGAAAACAATAGCAATAATAGTTTAATTTTTTAAGCTTAATGACCTGGGTTGGTTGGAACCATACATCATGGGATTGTATGGAAAGACACAGTCATTGAAATTATTATACAGTACTGTACTGAATTCATTATTTTCCCCATATCATGATCCACAAATTAAGAAATCGGCTGAAGCTACTGTATTGATATTTTCAAAAGTATAATAAGTTTATCATCCCAGTCTTAAGGATTTAAAAAATGTTTAGAATACTGTACAGATTGTTTTCAGAGACCTGGATCTCTATTGTGTTAATTACAAAATTGAATTTTGGGACAAAATAATTGTCCTTTCATTCATCCCCATCTAAGTTTTGAAAAATATGCACTGCTGCTGTACAATGAAAAACACAAAACAAAATATTAACAGCTGTCCTACTAACATCAATGTGGGAGAAACAGGCAGAATCCTGGACAAAAGACTTTATAAACATACAAGGGGCACAATGAAAGCAGTGCTGTTTTGTGCCATGTGAGAAACAATCAAAACACTGACTACACATACTGTAAACTAGCTTTTAAATCAGATAACCGTAAAAAGTAAAGAATTCAGCATCGAATGTAATGAAACACCTCTTTCTGATGGGCCCCATAGGTGGCCTCTTGAACTACCCAACTAGATAGCTCCAAGCATCAGGCCCTTGTGAGTCATGAGCATTAACTGCACACCAAAATCTGGCCCTTTCAATAGAGCATAGAAAGTCTGGGAATACAACCCAGACTAAGAGAGAAAAACACCATAAAGATAGAGTGCCCCTCAACCGAGCAAATGCATAGAAAACATTGGCTACACTGACACAAACTATGTATGCTCTCATTAACCATATTCATTTGCCAGTTAAGCTATGTTTTGCACGTCACCAGATGCAAACCTAGGAAACTGGCCCTCAATTGGCTGCCTCCCATGAGACATGCATCATCCAAAAGTGACCTAGAGAACCATAGAAAAGAAGGAAAGTGTAGGAATAGGGGTGCAACCAAAGTGGCCCACCAGAAAGAGGTGTTTCATTACATTTGATGTTGGATTTCTGGGGTACTCCGTTTGGTTACTTAATAAGCTAACCCATCATTGAGAACTAAAAGGAAGGGGCTTAGTGTTAAAAGAAGTAAAGAATGGAAAGGAAACCCAAAAGGAAACCAGCACTGGAGTACCCTAAAAAACAAAAACAAAAAAAATGCCATAAAACACAAACTTGGAAACTGCCAGAACACATGAGCAAAGAATGCAGAGAATCAGAAACCTGCAGCACGAGCCAATAAGATGACAGCCTTAAGAAAGATATCACAAGTCAAAGGGGAACTGTAAACTGAGGCAAGGAGATACACACCAAAACCCAATCAAGAGACCAGGATAGCTCAGGAGGATCACAAGCAGACTGTCACCGCAGACTGGAGGTGAAACATGTACAACTTGCAAAACAGTGCCGTGAAGGTGTCAACACCGAATGCAAGCCACTATGGCACCTCCAACGCCAAACAATAAGAGGCAACAGTATTAGGCATGAGTTGCCAATTGAGAAACAACCAAGACTTAAAGGATAGGACAGACCCAGCAGAAACTGAAGAAAGATGACAGAGACAAAGTGGTGAAAGGAGCGACAGGCAACTTCACACTATTGCCACCAGGAAAGATGCAAGTGGGACACCAACAAACCAGTCATCCTATCACCATACAAATGGTGATAAACACGTGTCAAAAGCTCTTGATATAAAGGGTAGAGGAGAATTTCAAACCAGTGAAGTACACAGCCTGACCGATCTGCTGAAAGGAGCAAGGAAAAATGCCCGAGTTTGGACATTGGGCCAGCAGTGCTGGAAACAAAGGCTAGGCCAGCTACCAATGAACCAGAAGGATCATCTCTCCCTGTAAGGAAGGGGGTCGTTTTTAGAAGGAATGTGTGTAATAGTGTTGGTAACTGGCAGTGAACAGTTGAAATTGTGTTGGTTTGAAAAGGAAGAAACATTTGAAATTCCCACCAGTGCAATGGCTAACAGTTACTGTGTGAGGACGTTCTCATCTAAAAGAATATAAATATCAAGTCAATGAAGGCAAGTAATTTGTCGCAAGTACATTTGGTGACTGGAAAACATGTTGTAAAAATCAGTGTTAATGTGGGAAAGCAATTTGGAACTCAATAAGCCAGAGAAAGAAAGGAGGTTGGAATATAATTTGAAAAGTAAATATTATTGGAATGCTAGCGGTTGAAGAAAACACAGGCCGGTGATTTGTTTACTTTGGTAGCGGGTGTGACTCCATGAGGAATTTTCATGTAGTCACCTAACACTTCGAGATCTGCTCTTGATGATTTTGTAGCTAAGTGCAGTGATGTTATTTAACATGTTGGTGGTGCTATTCCTATGATAGATATAGGATATATTGTGTTTACATGTCCCAGCAGTCGGCTGGCACTGAGAGTTGATTGTTCCATCCATCCTAGAGTTTGAATCAATGTGTATAGAGGCTAGTCCTGAGCATGTCACACATTATGCTATTCCTTGTCACTTTGTATTTGTTGTATCACACTGCTAACTAATAAGAACCGTGTGCTGTTAAAATATTTACAATTTGCATATCAAGTTGTGAGGAGATTTCAAAGTAACGTAACAGATGTAACCCTACAAATACAACGTAACTGTCCCTATTGTTACCTTGTTATAAAACTGTTACATTTTGTTATAAAGTTTTATGACGTGTTAGAAAGTTGTTACAACTTGTTAGATAGTCTTTATGACTTGTTAGACGATGTTGCAACTTGTTCAAATGTTGTAGCAGCATTGTAGTTTCATTGTGTGTTTGGTGGGAAGTTTCGGTCTTTGTGGGACCAGTAATCCAAGTAATACCTAATCTGTAGTACAAATACTCATGTGTAATAGTCTTTTGGTAAAGTAACTTTAAAACCTAGAAATAAAACCCCATTGTAATTATAAAGACATACTATGCCTAAAGCCACTAATACGCACAGCATTTCTGTGCTGTGGTACAAATACTCATGTGTAATAGTCTTTTTGTAAAGTAACTTTAAAACCTAGAAATAAAACCCCATTGTAATTATAAAAACCATTATTTTGTTTGTATACTCTAAACTTGTTTGGGGGTAGTAAGAGTTACCAATAACACAAGCTAAAACAGAAACAGAGAATACTAAAACTCTTCCAAAGTGAAAAACCCTCAGAACCAGGCACAAGACCAAGAAATGCACACCAAATCCACCTTGGGATTCCCCCAT